TAGTGGAAGTGGCACTTAGGTTTCTTTACACGTCTCAGGCTGCTTATGATCTGTTTTTTAAACAGTTTATTAAAGGTAATAAACTATTAATGCTTTAATAATTATTTGGAATTAAGGGCATTATAGTCAGTCTTATTGCTTTATTAGTTTGACACTTCTTGACTTGGTGGAAAATGTTACGTTTCCCTGGATAATGATCCAAATCTTGACAAGCCCTTTGTTTGCTTGTCTTTTCATTCTGTACTGTGTAATGTGGAGATTTAACTCTTACCCAGGTTCTGAGGATCTTTCTCTCTCGCCTCCCACATTTTGCTATCTGTGTAAGCCGCCGAAAGCAACCATCGTCGGGCTGTGAAGTGAAATGCACACATCAGTCAAATATTTGGGCAAATGAGTTGCTCGTGGCTTTAAAATGACAGGAAAACTCAAATGCCGGTTAATTTAGCTTCATGTTGTCAGCTAACGTTACCATGAACTGAGGGCATTTAGCTCCACCTCTATGAACATTCAAATATTGACCGTAAAAACCAAAAAATAGACGTTAAACATGAAACTAAAATTAAATCATACTCTATATTGAGTCTTAACCAAATGCATGATGTGTCTACCTGAAAGAGACGGAGATAAACTTTTAACTTTGACAGCAGCAGTCGCACATCGCTTCAACACGGAGGCTGCCATATTAGACGATACCATCTCGAGGCAGGTGCCGGGGGAGTTTGATGACAGGCAAAAGTGGATTATACCAAAAGTGACAACAGGATTGGTTGGTTTGGTTTTTGTTGTTTTTGTTGTTTTTTTGTTGCTACCTATAAAAACACATTAAAACAAAAAAATTGAAAAACAATAATAATAATTTATAAACACAATTCGTACATTTTTATGACTCAATGAATTATTAATAAAGTTAAAATGAGATATTATTGATATTTAATTTAACTTAATCTAATAATTTTTACTGTTCTATCTTGCTGTGTGCACCAAGCAACAAAATACTTTACAGGAAATGTTTTGATTTCCTGAAATTTATCAGGAATGACTTGCAGATAATGTAGAGAATACACACTTCCAGCCTACTAACCACAAGTTTCACCACAAGGTTGCTAACTTCCACTTTGGTACCACCTTCTACCTGTAAAGCGATAAACATTTCTTGATCTATCTATCTATCTATCTATCTATCTATCTATCTATCTATCTATCTATCTTTAAATAATAAGCTATAATACTTTGCAGCTTGTTACATTTGGTGTGATGTATGTGTAATTCATTAATATTAGTTTATATTCCCCAAATTCTATTTTTGACATTTTGGGGATTTTTTGGATTCAGTTGTTTACATATTACTTGGTTGGCTTTGGTAATTAAAGTCACATCAAAATAAAAGAGAAGCTACTTTTGGTCACTCCCAAAATCTGTTAAAGATAAATAATATTCTATGTTGCAAGCGAGAGTGAAATACTTGAGAAGAACCTGCTCTTTGACAATAGAGGGCACTGTTCATATAAGAAAAAGACAGAACAGGAAAACACACACAGCTGTTAAAGTGAAGGAGCTTCACTTTGCCATGCTGTGTGGCACATAAAGCCATGAAGAGTTCCATTGCTAGTTATTGAGCACCACTGCTTCATCAGGCTTTTCAATAGGGCTTACTAGATCTGTCCTCTCATGTTCATTAGATTGCAGGCAGCCCCAAAAATACTAGCAAACCACCAAAATTAAGCAGGAAGTTGGACATAAATGTGGAGTTGAGTTGTCTTACTTTGTTTACCTAAATGTGGATTAATTTGTCTGTAAAAAGCTGTTGCCCCTGTCACTTCTGTGTTTGTCAGACAGTATTTTTGTTCAGCTGCAGGAGGACAGCCCTCAGCTATTATTACAGTTAGCTCCTTGGCTGTGGGTCAAAGGAGGTGACAGGTTGAGACTAGGGTGGGACCACTCTGTTAAACAAAACATGGAAGAATTTTAGCACCATCTCGTTTTCTCAGTGACCAGCAAAACAGGAAATTTGTACCTGAGATGCATTACAGTGTAGTCACTACAAGTAAACAAGAAGTGTACCATTCAGTTCCATTACTGGGATTTCTGATATCATCTTGTGTCTTTCTGTTTTGCCATTATGCAAAAGGCCATACAAAGTCTACAGAACCTTTATTGAAAATCACGTTTTAAAACCCACACTTCTCTCATCATGTTAAAAAAAGGTATGTTTGTGGTTTAGAGATGAAAAAAAAATCAGAAGTATTTGTTTTCAGGATCTTGCTTACGGGCATCCCCTTGCTGCTTCCCTTTTTTATTTCTCATCCATAGTGTTAGAGGACGTTGGTGCAAGTTGGTGTGATGTGATAAAAGAACTGCATTATACAGGGAATGACAAAGCATTTTGTAGGGAGGCTTTTTATGCAATAGATGTGAACTGTCATTGAACACATGCATGCTTGACCAATAGTATGTGTCTGCAAAATATAATGGATAAATTTATCATATAAGGATTGCTAGGATGAGCAGTGTGATAGTCTGAATTTTATTTAATTTGTATTTAAGACATTAAATAAATGTACATTACACAATGAGACAATTATAAGAATCTCTAAAAGGAGAAACAATTTTAGCCACATTATAAAAAGTTACAAGTTACTAATCCTCAGTCTGGTTATCAACTCATCCTGAGTTCCTTCTTGAATGTGCATGATTTGGAAAACATTTATTGTGTAAAAAAACCTACAAAAAACCCCAAAATGGCTTGCTGTAATTTGCCTGCTTATATAACAGTATTCAAATACATTCCGGATGAAACAGGATAGCAGGACAGGAACCGCCCTGTAATATACAGCCCAACTTTCCGGCCAAGTGTTGTGACACCTATTTTTTCACAAGTTTAGTTGAATTTTCTTTCCAAGACTTTTAAACTGTTGTCATTATCAGCCATTTGAGTTACAAAATGTTTTCCGAAACAGTCCTTGACTCAACTTTTTAATCACAGTATTATGAAACAGAAAACATCATAACAATAATTTATTGGACTTAAGACAGATGACAACCCTAGCACAACCTACAGAATGGTTTGGGTAAAGCAACGTTTTGGAAAAATGGGAATAGGATTATCCTTATCAGGGTCATGGGGGGAGGGGAGCACTGGAGCCTATCCCAACTACCACAGGCTGAGAGGCGGTGTCCACCCTGGACAGTTCCAGCCAGCCTGGCTAACACAGAGAGAAAGATAACCATTTGCACTCACATTCACACCTATGAGTGCATTAGACTCACAAATTAACCTAACCCCACTAACTGCATGCCTTTAGACTGTGGGAGGAAGCCAGAGTACCCAGACAAAAACAGAGAGCACATGCAAAGTCCACACAGAAAGGTCCCGGCCTGGTGGTGGAGTCAAACTCAGGACCTTCTTGCTGGGAGGCAATAGTGCCGGACCACAGCGCAGCCCTGAATAATTTTCTATGTGTGTTAATTAGAATGAATATTTTCCTTGTTCCCTGATTGCAAAGACCTGCGAAAACACTTAAATTCTATTTTATAATTTTACACATTTATCTTGTAGAAAAAATGAGACGTGAACACTGAACACTGACAGGAAGTGCAGTTTCACTCTTCCAGCCCGCAACAGAAGAGGACTGAATGCGGCCCTCAAGGTAAAATGAGTTAGCCATCCCTGGCTTAGAGGGTTATTCCTGTTGATCAACTACTTTCTTCTTCAGTTTATAGAGCATAGCACAAAGGTTGTGTGATTTGGCTGTCTCTGAGTAACCACTGAAGGCATGATGCTTATGGTCAGTGTTTTTACAGAACTCGAGCTGCTGTTTTTTTGTTTTTAACCACGAGATTCATTTTCCCACCCGAGACGTATTTACCTGTTCTCCCCTATGTCTGATTCATCTTTGGCTTCTCATTGTCTCTCAAGTTTCAGTTCACGAAAAAGTGATGGACTCAACGCGATCAACATGCTTTTTCAGAGGAGATTAGATAAAGAGGAGCTAACTGTGAACAGGAGATGGTGATACGGCCGACTCTCTGTGGTTTCTCTTCAGGCAAGTGGCCGGGACTGAAACATGTAGGTGAGGAAAGGAAAGAAGAGGAGGATGTGAGAACTTCCTCAAACTGTTTGCAGTTTCGCTCTTTTGGACACGGTGGTCGTCGCTGGTCAAAATAGAGAAGCTGCTGTTCTGCATTTCATCTGACAAGAAATGACTGTTTACCTGAACTGGCATGATTATATGAGATGTAGCCCACAGCACATACTGTGGACTAAAGCATAGTAAGTAATGTTTATAGTCACATTTTGCTAATTTCTTTATAATCCAGCAATCTTAAGTGCGAGTTATCCCACACAGCGCACTGTGCAATATTGCAATTTCCATTTTTTCATGTAGTATTTCTATTTTCAGTGAGACTTCTGCAACGAGGAGAAACAATGCTTTATTCTGAGTCATACAGACATATGAAGCCTTTGTCTGGGACACCCACTGTGTCCGTCACTGCTGTTTGATCACAACCTAAAAGAGAGAAGGGGAGAGGTGTTTTCTCTTCCTCTTCCTCTGCTTTGAAAGAGAAGCAGGAGGAGAGAGGCAAGCTTTCTGAAACTCGCAGCAATCATTTCTCGCTCGGTATGTGCGAGACGGAGAGAATCGAAAGTTAGCATCTGGGCTCATATGCTTTAAAAACATTTGCAGCGACGTTTATAAGGCATTTAGTGAGAAAAAGCATCAAGTTTGTGTATTCAAGCTTTTATTTCAGTATTTATTCATCAGAACCATATTCAAATCACCAACATTGCAATAAAACACAGAAATATCTCCACAAAAGAGCATGTAGATAAAAAAAAAACAATCGAGACATAGAATGTAAAAAAACAAAATCATTTTAGCTTTTTTTTTCAATTGTGTCTGTCAAAAACATTTTTCATCCAGTTTTTTGCTGACTTTTAGAACAATATCACACAAACAAGAGTAGAGCATGTACAATGGTGTGATCAGTAACACTTAAAATTTTAATATCACAGATTAGATTCTGAGTCAAAACAGAGTTACATATTTAAGAAACATTTCAAAATGATTTGTAAAAAACTAAAACATTAAATATCTGTTTGCATTTTATTTACATCGCACGTTTCCAGCCAAAGCTTCTGTCAGTCACTATTAATGATAATTTGATATGTTTTTTTACATGCAATATTCTTCACAGCTTGTATTTATTCTTGATTTTTTGCTCTGGTAATAAACAACAAGTTCATTCGCTGCTACTCACCACCCTTCCCTAATCAGAGATGTTTGGAAGCATACATATTGTCGTTGCCTTCCAAAACAACCACTTAGTTTTAAACAAGAAACAATGCTACACATTTAATTATCTTCTGAGTCTTTGACTCACTTTTCTTCATGTTTGTCTTCTTCACCGTTTGACCCGTAAACTCTTCGAGCAATGCACTCGTATATGTTTGTCTCTTCCACATCGATGGCCTTGTGAAAGTTGTCCAACTTTTCTTTTCTTTGTTTTGGTTCATCTAGCTCTTGCTGATGTGCTTCTTCTTCTTCTGAGTCATATTCATATGACTGTCTACGGACCATTTTTTGGCGGCCCACCTGCTCACCTAATTCTGCATCTGATTCATAGGATGTCTCGGACTCCAATAGCTGCACCTTGTTACCTCTGGGAACTTTAGATTGACCTTCTGCTCCTGACTCCCTCTCAAACGTCTCATCCTCTAAACTTTCCTGGTACTTCTGCTGTTTCTGTCTCTTGCCTTCCCTCGGTTCACCAGGGGATCCCTGCCTTCTTTCCTCCAGCTCAGGCATGTACTGATCACCTGCTGGCTCGTGGTGGTCTACTTCAGGGCTGTACTGGCTCCTTCTGTACAAACTCTCCTCATCCTCCTCCTCCTGACAGGAGCTTCCCGGGACACTCTCACCATCAGACTGGGAGAGACGGAGGCTGGGCAGACCCGGGGGTTTCTGGGAGAGGTCAAACGGTTCCTCTTGGCTGAAGTGGGTGAGGAGGTCCATCGGGGTGGTCAGACAGAAACGCCCTCTTTGCCTAAATACTGAAATCACAGGGAGAAAAAAAAGTTACATTTAACAACAAATTTTACTAAAATACATAAACAATATACATCATCAGCAGTGTGTGCACACTTACGTCTCTCATCCAGGCCTCTGTCCATGACACCATGTTTAACCTTCATGTGTCTGGTGAGGTTCCCCTTCAGTGTGAACTTGCTCTGGCAGTATAGGCATTTGAAGGGTTTGCTGTCTGAGTGGAGATGCATGTGGCCCATTAGGTTGTGCATCCTGTTGAATTCTTTCCCACAAAGCTGAAAGAGAAGAGAGAGAATACATGTCCAGATATTAGGAACTCATTAAGACCTCGGGTTTAATTTGACACATTATTAACAGTAATGCATAGGCTATGCATCCTGAATCATTCGCAAGGTTTCTCAGGTAAGTACATTTTAATCTCTTGTTTTTATTTCAAGTCATTAAAAAAAAATAAGTGAATATTATGTTAACAACCAATCCAGTTGCCCATTTTCTGGCTTGAAAAGTGAAAAGGCCAAGATATTTTTGTATTAAAATTTACATGTTATCAATACAATGTAAAATTCTGAATTAGAATTTTTGCTACAATTTGAATAATATAAACACACACAAGCATTAATACCTTACAAACCTTAAAAACTATCTGCAATAAAAAATAATATTTTAAGCTCATTTGTAACAGCTGCAGCGGTCAGATAAATGGAGTGATTAAAAACAAAGCATATTTCTCTGATTCAAATTCAAAGTGTAAGAATCGAGTATTAAAGGTGATACTCTAGCTTTTCATCAGTGGCTGTAGTAAACACTGTGTCCACATCCAACAATAACAGGCAAGCCCTAATTACCTGTTATTTTTCTCTCTCTACCAGATCTCCTTTGTTAGATGACTAATTTTCTCAGATGCTGAGTTGCAGAGTTTACACGTAATCATGAATGAATGCGAAGTCTTTCAGACATACATACACACATTCTTTCTCCCTCCTTCTATAGTTATTCTCCTCGTTTCCTCTTTGTCTTCCCCCCTCACACACAAGCAAGGACACACACACACACACACAAGAAAAACAGAAAGAAAAAGACAGAGAGAGAGAGAGGAAGCAACACTGAGACAGGGCCAGGAGGAGAACAGGGAAGGGCAACTCCTGTGCTGTCCTTCCTCTGCATTCTTTTTTATTAGGGTGGTCCTTTCCTTCAGGAGGAGAGAGGGACTGTAAACTGTCCAAGAGGACCGTGAGAAAACAGGAAGCTGCCTCCAGCAGCAGAGAAAGCGAGATGAAATCTATTTGCGGGGCTTGTTCTCCGGGGAGGCTGGCGGGCCATTGTTAGAGAGGCAGTTTGTGCGGCGATATCCTTCCTATGGACAAGGAGGCTCCCACTCCCATAAGCCTCTCTGCTATCTGGTCATCGTCTCAGTCCTCAAGTTGTACCAAAAAACCAAGGTCAAAACAGACAAATTCTTTAACAGCAGCTGCCACTACAAATTACAAGTCTGGTTCCTGGCTGTGATTATCAAGACTTGGTTTGTGTAGCTTGCAAAAAGGGAGACACTTGCATTTTAGATGCCTTTATTTACTCCTTATAGTAAAATAACTGAGTATTAAAGGCATAAAATGAAACTGAAATAGCAACCAGACCTGTAGCTAACAATGACCTGCTGCTTCTCATCTTACTACAGTTCGTGCCTTCTACTGATTACCAGTGAAAGTATGTATTTGCTTCATATGTAAATAAATATATATGTTTTACAGCTTGCATTTTTCTAACAGCTGTTTTATGTTTTTAAGGCCCATTTATGATGTCATGATTTGTGTATTCCTGTAAATGTAATAATAAAATAACATTTTGTGCATTACACACGTGTCTAGCTCATTAACTTAGCTTAGCAAGAAGAGTTGAAATAGCTATCCTCACTCTGCCCCCCAAAAATGTTCCACATCAAGCCCTTTGCTACATGGGATTACATTTCAGTGTGATAAGATAAATATCAAACTTTATAAGTCACAGTAGATGGACTGGCATCTGGCAAACTGTTTTGCTTCATTTTCTCTTTTTGTTGGAGGCTTAAACTGTGGTTTAGTGGTTGCTAACAGCAATTTCATAATGATATCCTACAAATGTGATGTTACACTTTTACCAGTTTGCCCTTTAGAGCAACACTGCTGAAAACTAGCTCAGTCATATGGTGTAGAAACACTGTGGCTCGATTTTGTTGTGATAGGGCAGGAAAGGGCTAGCTTTTTGTCATACTGATAATCCTGTCTTCACTTGGGTTGCCAGTTCTGTGGTTTTCCTGCTGAGGGGAGTGACTTTTTTCTGTGCAATTTACAGACTGTGGGTATTTTTTCTATACTTCAGGAAAAAATAAGAGTATCTCTATAATTAAAAAATCGTATTTAAATGAAATAATTGATTCCTGCCAAACCGACTTCATGGACGCACATATGGACACAAAATGTGCCATACTGACCTCCAACACCTCCAGTTACTAACTGAATACAGAGCAGGTTTTGACTGGCCAGGGAGAGATTCGGGTCATGTAAGTTAAATTACAAATTTATATTCTTCTTCTCCTATGGACTTTGTCACTCCATAATGAGATCACCTGACAGCGCAGACATGAGTCATACTTACTGAGGCCACTAACGTGCTTTGTCATTCGAACACGTGAACCTTTGGGAAATTTGCTGTACAGAAGGCCAAAAGAAAGAGCCACATCTCACATGCCAAACTCGACCAACCTTGCATTTATAGGGCTTGATGTCCGAGTGGACGATCATGTGAGCCTTCAGAGTCTGTTTCTGGACGAAACTCTTAAAGCACATGTGGCACTGGTAGGCCCGTATGTTGGTGTGGATGAGGACGTGACGCTTCATGTTGGCCAACAGGGTGAATTCACGACCACAGATGCGACACTTGTGCTCCTTCACCCCCTGAAGAACAAGATAATGTGGAAGTAGTGGTGTGAGAAAGACGAGTCATTCTTCTGGTTTGCATTAGAGAGGCCAGATCGTCCCCTGATAACAAATATGCCAGGCAGTGCCAGTGGAAATGCATTTAAATTTATTTACGAAATATAAAATATCTATTTGATGAAACTATCGCTGCTACAGTTGTAAATATAATGGTATAAACAATAAGTTGTGCATTTTAGAGCTTGGGCATGCTAATACAGGACTTGTATAAATGGTTTGTGTAGTCAGGTGGTTTATCTAAACTCTAATGCTACTAAAGAATAAAAACTGGATGTTAAGCAGTTAAAAGTAGCTTCACTCAAAATTCAAGAGGAAACTGCTTCATGGCTGATATTTTTACTATCCAAAATGCAAATTGGGCAAGCTGATAATTCTTGGATGCCATTAAAAAACAAGAGAGAAAAAAAACTTTAAAATTTCATTTTTTAATCCTTTTGTTATACACCTACTTTATGAGTGAGCGTGTGCTGTTTCAGGTGGTGCGACTGGATGAACTCCATCCCACACTCACTGCAGATATACGGTCTGATGTCTTTGTGTTTCATCATGTGGTTCTGAAGCTGACTGGGATACTGGAAAGTCTTCTGGCACTCTGTACACCTGCACACACAGCAACCAACATTTGCAGTTAGCCTGCTGGAATGTCTCAACAATGTGGGAAATGCATATATAAAAATGCACTTTTGTGCCAGGAGTTCCACGAATAATTAATATTGCTCAGAAAATCTGAGGCCATAGCCAGCAAGAGGTTAGCCTAATTTAAAATTTAAAAAAAAAAAAAATCTATTTCTTGGAAAGAATTAGTGGATGTCCTCAATGGGTGGAGCTTGAGCTGCTGTGCTAAGCCAACTAACTGCTTACTTTAAACAATAACAAGAATATGAACATAAGAATATGAAAGGAAGGAAATGAGCTCACCTGTACAATGTGGGACCTCGGTGGACGGTCAGGTGCCTCTTTAGCTGTGCCAGTGTGGGGAAGTCTAGACCACACTCCACACATACATTCTCTTGACCTTTTTCATGCTTCAGCTCGTGGGCTCGAAGTTCGCTGGGATAAGCGAAACCTCGACCGCACACACTGCAGCTGGCGGTGCAGAAAAAGTGTGAATGAGCAGGAAATCTAGGCCTTAAACAGCAGAAACTCTATATAATATATTGGAATGAGTGGAAATGAAAGTAAAGCTGGTGTAAAGCTGGTAAAAAATAGATTATAAGCCTAATTCTACACAGGAGGCCACTCCACACCCCTTATTCATTACCTCCAGCTTCAGAACACCAAGATGGTGACTGCCAAGATACTCAACATCACGATGGCTACCTCTACCTCTTTGACATATTGTATGTAAAAATAATTTACCTGTATGGCTTCACGTCACTGTGCTGCATCATGTGTCTCTTCAGGTGGCTGGTCTGGGTGAAGGCCTTGTGGCACACCTGGCACTTGTGGGGCCTCATTCCCTGGTGTGTGAGTAGGTGTGTATGCAGGTGGCTCAGCTGCTTAAATAGCTTCCCACACAGGTGACATCCGTGTGGTTTGATGCCGTTGTGACCCAGGATGTGTGTGACCAGGTTATACTTAGATGTGTAGGACTTCTCACACATTCGACACTTCCATCTCTTCTGGTCTCCGCCAACGTCCACATAGTAGCTGTCATCTACGTGAACATTGAGACCGAGCTTCTCAGCGCTGCTCGTACCACTTCGAGGAGCTCCTTCACGGGCGCTATGACTGGGGCGGAGGTCCTCTCTGGGGTAGAAACCACCAGGGGGGTGGTGCATGATAGGGCCAGGCATAAAGAAGGGGTAAGGGAGAAGGCTGTGGTGGAGAGGTGGGAAGTAGGGAGGGTGAAGAAGCAGAGGAGAGGGTGGCCAGATGGGGGAAGGACTGAGTGGCTCCTGTTTTATCTGCACAGGAAAATTCACATCTGGAGGTCTGTGTTGAAGCTGCAGGCTGTTGAGCTCGATCATGCCAGGGATGGGTTTTGGAGATGGAAAAGGACGAGGTGGGAGGGAAAAGGGAATGTGCGGCAGGTCCACTGTCTTCTTACTGCGGCTTTCTTCTGCCTCTTCTGCCTCCTTCTCAGGAGATTCACCTCCCTCATGGCCATCCACTTTTAAGGGAGTCCTTTTGCGTTTTTGGGATCCTTCTTTGAGGGTGTAACTGGGGCCAAGCATGGGAAAGAAAACAGGTGGACTAAAAGCACTGTAGGCATCTCTGGTGGGTGATATACTGGGATATCTAGCAGGAGAAAATTTGGGGGGCTGAATAAAGAGTGGAGCTGGGCTTAGGTAGAAACTGCGCTGAGATGTTTGTCTTAGCTCTTCTCGGAGGGGAGGACTTCTTCGCGGTGAGATGCTTACTCTATCTTTTTCCATCTTCTTTCTGCATGAAAAAGGAAAAGAAGTTGTTAAATATCTTCAGTAACAACAGGGAAGAAAGTATTTAATCATTCTTTTACTAGAGGGAGTCTGTTAAAACTACTTGTGAGCTTACAAAGCCCACTTGATGATGCAGAAGGCAAGCAAGACATGACATAAAAATAGAGGGCTTTTTAGTTCTTCATATAAAATGTGGATCTTTGAAGTTTTCCTTTTAACTTTTGAGTGAGCCTGACAGTTTCATCATAATCACACAGCAAAACTGAAGCATCAAAAACTATCCCAATACTTTATCCAGGATAAAATGAATTTTCTTTCAGGAATTTACAAGAGTAAACGTCAGGAATTGACTGGTTTAAAGAAGAGTAACAGTAACACGAAGCAAGTCCTGAAACCAGAACCAACTTCCAGTGATTACATGTATTTTCTTCTGCTGCCTTCAAATAATGTGCATTTAGACTTGCATCTGTTCTATCCTCGCTATATGTTAGAAACTAACACGAACAACCAGTACTAATATCAATGTCGCCAACCACAGTAGAATGCAAGTCAGCAACATTGGTGTGACATCAGTGATACTTGTAACATTTACAATTGCAGGCACTATGTCTGTCTGTGGTGATGACAAGGGTGATGAGAAAATAGAAATATTTGACTAAAACTACATTTAAAATGACATTTCAAAATTTCAAAAAACAATATTAGTCCAACTACTGACAGAAAGAAAGTGTCAGGTTTTTTGTGCAATACATGTGTCATGCATTATATCATACACATACATTTTTTATATATTTCCCTTCTGGTCCTTTTAAATAAATATATTAATATGTTCTTCACATGATCCTTTTGTGTTATTATTGGTAGGATCTATTAATATCTGTGATGTCTATTAATGTATGTCAGGTTAGAAATTGTTCTGTCATCGTATCGTCTGTGCATTTGAGTTAAATGTACTTTTAACACAGTTCACAGAATCAAAATCTAGTTGGTTCTGGAATAGTCGCCAATGTTTCTGGAAAAATCAAAAGAGATGTTTGTCTTGAATACACAGATTGCCTGATATCAAAATAAATTTGAAAGTACAAAGGCTGAACATTTTTTTAAAGTTACATTTTTAGTTAGTAAGGTGATTACTTTGAAGATTGCTTCTGTTTGAGATTTACCCAGTTAGTATGATGTATTTTTTCAGTGTTACATTTTCCACCCTCTTCTGTTACTATTTTTCCCATCAAGGGCTCAGTTGTAAAACTCTGGTTTCTTGCATTAAAATAGGTATTTTAGCCCTGTTCCCATTATTGACAAGATATCAGTTGTACTATTAGTTGGTGCACATCTGTGTTTTGTTTATCAGCAGATGACCAGTGTATTTCAATTAGCCTGTGAGGAAAATGTTTTTAAAAAATATATTACATTTGTCCCCAGTATCCACTAGTTTTAAATATTAACACATATTTAATGGGACTCTTTATACACTTAAAATTTTATAAGAATGACACAATCAGAAATAACTGCTACTGACTACACAAAAAATGCATCCATCTTATCATGCTTTCTTGACATTGATGGGGAAAAACATCATGAATGTGAAGAAAGGACTTAGCAAAAAAACAACGTGGTGCAAAAACAAGCTGGTTAAACCTCAGAAACCTCAAGCAGGAACTCATATCTATGAGGGGCATTGCCATTTTGCAAAATAATACACTGTGAATGACTGGTTTGAAAATCAGTACTATACTTTCCATCATATGCATTTATTTTAATTCTTAATTTGAAAAATAGCAAGTAGCTACACCTGTCCAATAAAATCTATACAAATAAGGAAGTAAATAAACTATAAATACCTCACATTTGATTTCACGTTCAGTTCTTGAATGTGTTTACTTTCCACCACTGCTTACATATACTTCCAATTGTAACATTTGGAGAAAGACTTGACAAAAGTGCGTCAAATGAAACTGTGTCCTGTTTCTATTTATGACATGAAACCACTTCTCTGAAGATCCCTGTGGAAGGAATGCAAGCGGACACACGCATGCACGGTGTGGCGTTGACACCCACACCTTTCAGGTTTCAATCTGAAACCTTTCACTTCTTCGTTTCTCACAGATCTTCTCCTTGTCTGAAACTAGGAAGTTATCTGTGAGAAGTTTGCCTCTACCTCCTGGCCCCTTTTCGCTTCTCCATCTATTTTTCTCTGCGCTCTTCATCCTTCTTTTTTTTCTTTTTTTTTTTTGGACTGATAGCCAGGAAGAGCTTCCTCTTTTCTCCTTTACTGGAGTTCAGTTAAGCAAAATCACAAAACTGCAGTTTGCATCTGTATGATATAGAAATATAGAATAGATGATTGTAATGGATGTAAAGATGAAGATAGTCAGAGGGGAACTATCTTACTTCTGCATGACATTCAAAATAGTGGTGCAGATTAATTCTATTCCTGTTAACACTGCAGTGCTTATCAGTGAGAAACTGCTGAGACCTGTACTAGTCCACTGCTTGCATGACTACAGTTTCCACTTCATGTCTGTCACAGGTTACATACCTGTTGGCTTTTTAAATGTAAACATTTTAAAAACACCCAAGGCTTCAATTTATGATTGAACACCTGCTACAGTTTCCAGAAATTAAAGGAGACGTCTTACATTTTCTCATTTTTTCTGACAAAAACACTAAAAAAATTGTAGTAACGCAAGTCAAAGAAAAAAATAGCAAAAGCTCGTAACGTGGAGGTTGTAATTCCATCACATTTTGGCATTTTTGTTTGACAAACATTTTAACTGATGAATTGAAAGCAAATGTTGATTTCAAATCAAGGATCAGCTTTCTAAGTATTTCAGCTCAACATCTGCATCCAGCTTTGCATGCATTCTTACAACACAAACATCATGAAAGCTAATGTGACAATGAAATGAAAACCAGTGAAACTTTGACATTTAAATCCACCTCAACAAATAATTAGCATTTTACTTCTGGAAAAACATTAAAATGACGCATTTCTACCAGTAAATTTCCCTTTCACAGATACATGGATGGAAATTCATAAAAATCAATCAACAGGAATAAAAAAAACCCAACAACAACAAGATGCCAAATGCAAAAACTGGATTTTTCTGCCTCTTTCCAGGATTTTCAAAGAGCCCTAGATGCCTGCTGAAGTTTTGGGTCTCTCCTGGACATTGTCCTGCTCTTTTATCCTCTTCACTTCTCTTAGTTAAGTTGCTCTGTGCAGAGACCCCAGCCTGTCCTTGCCACACCACGCATTCCAAACAATCCATCCCGAAGCCCCTCCTCATGTGCCAGTCAGTGCCATGTAAGTGTGTGCTGTGTGCGGTTGCAGCATGTCTGCGTGTGTAACTTACCAGCTGAGTGTAGCAGAGTGTGTGTGTGTGTGTGTTTTTTCTCTGTGATGCTGGGGCTGAAGTGCTGCTGCAGTAGCTGCTGTTGTACCTGTGCCTCTCTTCTCTCCCTCCTGCTCGCACTGCAACTCTCCTGACAATGAGCCGCCTGTCCACGGATAGCATTTGAACTGACTTAAGAAAGAGAACAGGAACAATCACTTTGTTCTCATTTTTCAGATGAGTACCTTCGGAGAGAAGGAAGGAAGGGAGGGGAGAGGAAGTCAACAAGCCTAGTGCCTTCCTGCAGAAAAATAAGGAAACACTAGATAGACATCTCTATTTCTCTATGAAATAGGGATTTGCATAGCCTTTGGAGGAATGTGGGGAGGAGGGTGCTGATGTTTCACTTGAAAACAGCACAATTTCTAGGTTTAATAGCTGCAAAGTGACATGTCATGATGGAAGATAGCAATGCTTTCCATTAATCCAGCTCAAGGAGATGTATCTTAATACTGGCTGTTTTCATATTTATAAGAAAATAAGTATCATTTTTTTTTAGATAAAATAGAACATTTCTTGAGCTTATGAAATAAATATTGTCAAAAGTTCTTGATTGTTATGTACATGTTCATCACAGAGGGGCCGATTGCCAGGGAGACACTGCAATGTGTAATATATCACATTACTGGAGAAAAAAACCAAGCATGTGAGACATGATGTGTTTTATTCCCTTTTTTCTTTTTCTTTTTGAAATTGTATTTTTTCATGCATTGTGTGCGTTGCTCTGGTTATCAATTGCAGGATCACCTTAATCAGTATTCCCATTATTTTCTCCACTTCCCACAAAACACGTGGCAGATGGAAACAGCAGCAATGAAAAATGTACAAATAGATGACATGCGTCAGCACAGCCACTAGGAGGCAAGAGTGGCCTGTCTGTCTACAATGCCACTTTATTGTCCTGTTTGTCATCATATAGCGTTTGTAGCTACCCGTCTCTGGTTGTGAAATCTGAGTAAATTAACATCCCACGCGTCTCTGTTGGCACAGAAGTTTTTGAACAATGACGATGTTAGCAGCTCTTTAATTGAGATGAGGTGGCAGTTAGTAAATCAGGAGGGAGCTGCAGTAATTGAGCTCATATTATTGAAACGGTGAAACTGTCTTTTATGAGATGTGGCCAATCATTAGCTGTGTTAATTAGCTCATAAGACCAATTAACCTCGGCCCTGGACAATGTGTGCATCAATTCCTCTGAGGAATTAAGTACTTTATTAATAGAAAGGGAAATTTTCAGGTGTGCGTATGTGTGTATATACGTTTGTGGGTATGTGTGTTTCTTGCTTTGTTGTTGAGTTTGTTTACAAGCTCTGCAAAAAGCATTGCTTACCGACATGGTGGCTCAGCAGGCCAGAAATGTTCTTTGAAACCAGCTTTTTCACTCTCTCCTGACCTCCCAGGGGTAGTAATAAAAAGTTGAATCCTTAAAATTAACTTTTTTTGTTCTTAAAAAAAATTTAACTGGTGCTACCCTATTGTCCAGTCGCGCTTTGAATAATTTCATCGCTGCCTGCTCTTCTTGACCTCTCTGACTTTCCTAACATCTCTAACATGCACGGTCACGCAGCAGGAGCCCTTAACTAATGATCTCCAATAGGAAGAAGCAAACCTGGCCACACAATTACCAGGCCCTTTGACCTGGCCCACACAGTGGTCAGCTTCATCTGCTAAGGTGATTAAAAAGGCCTCATTAAGGATTTCTAAGTGGCTTTTAAGTTTCTGTGTCACTCTCAAAAGGTGCTTTGGAAGTATATAAGACACACCAGCAACACCGTATGACACAGAGAAGTCAGCAGTCATCCAAGAGCAACCTAAAGAGGAACTTGAGCTAACAAGTGTGTACATTTGCTCTCTGTGAAGCGTGGATTTTGTGGTCAGCCTTACTAAGTGTTTTTTTCTCTGTTTTTCTCTTCCATTCTTAGCAGAAATGACCGGAGCTGCTGTGTCTGTGTGCCTGCTTTTTCTCCTGTCTGTATGTTCAGCGTGTTACATCTCCAACTGCCCTATCGGAGGAAAAAGGTCCATAATGGATGCACCACTGCGCAAGGTGAGCTCAATCAGTCAGCCAATAGGTTTTTAACTTTGCAGCTTTTGAAGCTTCTGACCATATTATTAGCAAACTGGCACATGTTTCTCTTCATTCATTTATTCAGATAATGCAAAGCCTAAAGAGAGATTTAGGTGACATGCATGTGAAAAACTTGGGTCAGGGGCCAAAACCATCAGAATGAAAATGCAAACTGAGAAAGCGTAAAAATGCTTTATAAGGTAGTAAATTATGGTGACGTTCAAAGCAACACCAAAAATAATCATCTGTTTCAACCTCTAGTGCATGTCATGTGGCCCCGGAGACAGAGGCCGCTGCTTCGGGCCAAGTATCTGCTGCGGGGAAGGTCTTGGTTGCCTGCTCGGCTCCCCGGAAACAGCTCATTGTGTGGAGGAGAACTACCTGCTCACCCCCTGCCAGGCAGGAGGACGACCCTGTGGTTCTGAAGGAGGACGCTGCGCTGCTTCAGGACTCTGCTGTGATGCAGGTCAGAAAATCCTGATGTAAATATAAGCAGTAGTAAAAGGAGTATTTTAGTCCTTTATTGAAGTAATTAATACCACTACCATTTGCAAAATACTTAGAAAAATAACTCTGCAAGCTAAAGCAAATAGGAGAGAAGTACTATATTAGCAATATTTGCTTAAAGTACAAGAAAGCAAAGTTTATAGTTTAAGCTGATCAGTCAAGCTGATTGTCATTATTATATTTACAGCTGGGTGGCTTGTTCAGTATTCTGTGTAAGCATACATCCTATTTTATAAGCTTATTACATCTGACTTGATAAAGGCACAGTATCTAGAGTAAACAACATGAAGTAAAAAGTATACATTTTCCTCTAAAATGTAGTGAAGTACAATTATAAAGTGCTATAACATTGAAAAACTCTAGTGAGGGTTATCAGGTACAAGCACTTGATTGATTCATGAAATTGTGCAGTCTCTATTCCGGTCCAAGGTTCAGCATAGCTTAACCTGCACAAGTCACAGATTCTCTAGTGTAAACATGATGACTTTCATCCAAACCTGAAGTTGTAATCATTGTTGTTTTTTTGTTATTTTATATAATGTAAGGAGTAATGCAAGAATTATAAATCTTATTCCTAATAGAGCTCTGCATGCTTTAGTATACTACTTTGGTCATGATGACCTAATTTACCCTACCCTGCTCTTTAAGGGTCCATGAATACAGGTCACAAAGACTGATAACAACAGATCATAAAGTGTAGATGATGACCATTTTTGGTAATAACTCCTTCTGGTTTGTTCTTAACCCTGCCTCAGAGAGCTGCACCACAGATCAATCCTGCCTTATTGACGAGGAAGGAGATGAACAAACCAGCCAGTTCGATGGCAGCGACCCCGGTGACATCATCCTCAGGCTCCTGCATTTGGCTGGCCACAGTTCTCCTCATCGAGTCCACCAATGAGCTGCTCTTGACGTCGAGGTCTCACTGCAAGCTCTCGAGCTGTAGGGATTAAATGGGACTTGTAGTTCACATAGTTGTGTTTTTATGTTTGTTGTCATGATGCTGGTTTTGCTCTTTTTCCCTGCAGTACTTCTGTAGAGTGCCTTTGTCAATATAGCCTATTTTTATGTATGAAATTAGGGGTGAATACTTGTTGTGGTCATCCTGTTATCTGCATGTTGAAATAAAGTTTGAAGAGAGTATAAAGTGCTGTCATTTTTCCTGACCTGATTAAGTCTTGTGTGTAAAATTACAGTATTTCAAACCTTCCAAATACTTTTCCTTATAAGACAGCTTGAACCGTATTAGGGCATTGTGTTTGGCAAACAAATATACAAAGCCCACAAGAGTCTTTATCTTTCAGATAATCCTCCAAAGGATCTCTGGCAAATTCAAATGATCCCCACATGATGGTGTGTGTGTGTTTTTGTGGCAACTCTGGTGACACAATATCCCTGTTGCAACAGTTGGGACTATTATCTCATAGGCTGTTCACCTTTGATCCAATTTTGTTTTGGTTAACTTTGCAGTCAGTCCGCTTTGGTTCTCTGTGTCCTTCTATGGGCATGCATAGAAGGGCACAGAGCATGCAACAAAGCAGTAAACAAATAAACACAGCATGCTGAAGACTTTTATCTCTCTGCCCGCCCATCTTTTGCGAGCACACCTGAAAGTAGTGAAGTAGGGACTTTCCTTAATTTCAGGCACCTGAGGTTAAAGATTGATCCGCTGTAGCTTGAGAATATAAAAGAGGCAGATACTCGCCTCTTTCTTTACCTTCACTGCCTGCCAACATGTCTTTCTCTGGAAAATACCAGCTTGAGTCTCAGGAGAACTTTGAGCCTTTCATGAAGGCTGTTGGTAAGAGTTGTGCAAAACTAATAAGCTTCCTGCACTGAATGAACTAAAATAACAATTTATCTGACCAACGTTTTCCAAACTTTTTGCTTTCTGCCGCAGGTATGTCTGATGAGATCATTCAGAAAATCAAAGATCTTAAGAGCATCTCTGAGATCGAGGAGAATGGTGACACCTTCAAAGTGACATTCACAACTGGCTCAAATGCCATCGTCAGCAATTTCACTATCGGACAGGAGGCTGAACTACCGTCGCCCACTGGAGAGAAAGTCAAGGTAAGCCAAGATGCTTAACTTAAATCTACAGGAAACACAATTATGACAGTTAAAACACTTATAACACATTTGGTCTGTATAAAATGTTATAGTTGATCACTGAGCCTAATCTTCATTTATCATGCTTGTTGAAGGGGGTGGTTCAGCGTGAAGGCAATAAGCTGAAGACCACCCTGAAGAACATCGTGTCTGTCACAGAACTGGTGGATGCAAACACACTCGTTTCAGTAAGTAGTTTTTCTGACTTTCTTTTCTTTAAAGTCTTCCTTGTTGATTAACTAGCTGGTATTTAATGCATTTTGTTCTTCTCGTTGTAGACACTGACTCTTGGGAACATTGTACAAAAGACGACAAGCAAACGCATGTAACTTTCTATACATGATAATAAAAGGAGGGTGAAAATTTTTTTT